GGCCATAAATTTTTTTTATTTTTTTATCTTTTCAGGAGAACCTATTTTTCTACCCCTTTTTAATAAACATCTACTTTTTTATTTCCCTAACTTTTCTCAATACAAACAATACACAAAATAACATTTTTAGATAACGGCATTACTTTGTTGACTCATTCTATCGGAGACCTACTAGTGTAACATGGAAATAAGATTTACACAAGGGAAGGTAATAGGGAGAATGTTCCAGTAGAGAAAGACCTGGAAAGATGACCGTATCTGCGGAAGGAAGTGCGTTGAATTAGGAGTTGTTACAGGGTGTTATGTGCCCCAAGCACATTATGATTTTTGTCCATTTCTTTTCTTTGTTTCCTTATAAACTTTAGTTGAAGGATCTTTTGTTAATATATTTTAGGATTCTTTTAGTAAATTAATTATGTTAATTTGCGGTGCTGTCGTCCGCCTATAAATAGGCTGGCCTTCAGCACGTTAAGGCGCGTTCCTTGCGCGTTCCTTTCCAACCTCATTTTTGGACGCCGCTTTCCACCTGCTCATTTGCTCCATCGTGCGCGGTGCGCACTTGTCTTGTCGCTGCGGCCTGCAGCGGACGTTCCAGCCTGCCATGTGGTATTTTTAACTTTTTCTTACTTTTTTTCTCAAGGTTTTGGCCTGGCGGGACCGGTAGTCCTGTTTTCGATTTTTCTTTTGCTTAGGTTATTTTTTTGTCTTTAGTCCGGTATCAGTAGGGGCTTCGACGGTCCTGTATAGGGTTGGCCCCCTGCTGTACCGTTTTATTCTGTTTGATCGGCCTGCCAGGTCCAACTTTCTGTTGTTACTTTGGGTTTCTTTTTTTTACTTTTTGGGGCACGGGATTTGAGGGCCGTTAATTATTTTTCTCTTCGCAGAACATCTGAAGAAGCCGAATCAAGAACAACTAAACGGAGAGAATTTATTAATAAAACATCTTTTTTTGAACACGAGACGAAAATGAGGGTTCAAAAAAAGTACAAGATGGTTGTGCACCTGTTCTGGGCCAAATCCAGCCCAAGCTGTGCTAACAGCGCTTTGCAGAGGATGGGAAAGATAGGTCGTCACCTGAGGCAGTAACCACAATTCTGGAGCACTTCTATGTAGATGACTGTCTTGTCTCAGTGTCTGATGAGAAGAAGGCTATTACCTTGACCAAAGACCTCATTGCATTCTGCAAAAGTGGATGATTCCATTTGGCTAAGTGGTCTAGCAACAGCCTTGAGGTATTGTCATCACCCCCCGAACATGAGCGTGCGAAGGAGATCAAGAATCTAGATCTGGACAGGGATGAGCTACCCATGGAGAGGGCGCTTGGAGTGGACTGGTGCATAGAATCCGATTCTTTCAAGTTCTGCATTCTTGTGAAGAACATGCCTGTCACCAGAAGGGGTATCCTATCAGTCGTAAGCTCAATTTACAACCCCCTTGGCTTCCTGTCACCGTTCATCCTTTTGGCTAAGATCATTGTGCAAAATCTCTGTCGATTGAAACTTACCTGGTACAATGACATTCCTGTAGAAATTGCGAACAGATGGTTTGTCTGGCTGTCTGACTTGAGCCGGTTCGCCAGCTTCTCTGTCAAGAGGTGCATCAAACCAGAGGGATTTGGTTCAGTAGTGTCAGCGCAGCTACACCATTTTTCTGATGCTAGCGAGAAGGGCTATTGTTAGGGCATCAGTGGTTTTCTCCCCTTTCCTTGCAGGGTTCTGGATGCAGGCCTTCTACAGGTGATCTGTTTTGCCCTAATTGGTGCTTGTCTACTTTAAAAGCTGTCATGCAAGCAGCAGAGAGGAGGCTTCTCTCTCTTACCTCCTCAGAACCCTGTTTGGCTTGGTTTGGTTTGTATCCTGTCCTATGGTTGGGTTTTGTTAGGTTTGGTTGCATTTGCTTATTTCTGTTTAGTTACTAGTTTTGCAATAAGCCTTTTCCTATTCCCCATTTTATTTATTCCTTTTCAGGTATTGTTTCTTTAGTATAATTTAATAAATTCAATTTTCACTTTAAAGAAAATCCTTGTGTGGTCTCCTTTAATGTTACCCCCACCAAACAAGCTATGGAGTCGTCAGCTACATTCGCATTGAGAACAGCCACGGTCAAGTCCATTGCTCCTTTCTTCTAGGAAAATCTAGTATGACGCCGCTCAAGCCAGTTACTGTCCCACGTCTAGAGCTGGCTGCAAGCTACCATCGTGGTGAAAATGGACAAGCTCATGAAGCAAGAATTTCGGATGGACCTCAAGGAGTCCATGCTATGGACACATAGCACCACTGTCCTCCGATATATTGACAATGATTGCGCTTGTTTCAAAACCTTCATAGCGAATAGTGTCGACAATCAGGGAGTACACAAGGCCAGCACAGTGGAGATACGTCTGTATATCTTCTAATCCAGCTGACCACGCGTCACGAGGAATGAATGCAGAGCATTTCATGAGGTGTCAGAGTTGGATTGAAGGACCTGACGTCCTTGCCAAGGACGAGTCTCACTGTCCAGTTCTCTCAGAGTTCCCAAGAGAGATAAGCGATGATGATGCCGAGGTGAAGCGCAAGATCACTGTGAACCTCATCAACCTCAAGAACAGACCCTCTCATCAAGCTGATTTATCATTATTCTAACTGGCACAGTCTAAGGAAGGCCGTCGCCTGGATGTTGAGGCTGAAGGAGTTGCTTAGAAATCTGTGTGAACAAAGGAAGATCTTTGAGTCTCAAACCCAGTCTCAAGATAGTCAAACTGTGAAACCCAAGATAGTTGAAAACCACATCCAGAAGTGGAAATCTGGCCTGAAAGGAACCAATCTGTCCTGATAGGAACCAATCTGACCGTCAAGGACACCAGGAGACCGGAAACTGCCATCATTCAGTTCAGCCAAAGACAAACCTTTCATAAAGAGCTTTGTGGACTGCAGAAGGGTGATAAGGTCAAGAGAAGTAGTTACATCGTGAAATTGGATCCGTTCCTCCAAGATGGTGTCCTCCGGGTTGGTGGAAGACTGCACCAGGCAGCCTTGCCTGGACACACAAGGCATCTGGCTTATCTAGCCAAGAATAATCATGTCACAACTCTGATCATCTTTGAAGCCAAGCGTGGACGAGCGCGAGTCAAGCGCTATGGAGTCTTGTTTACTTGCCTTACAATACGAGCCATCCACATCGAAATCGCACACTCACTGGACACAGAACCATGTATAAATGCAGTGAGATGTTTTATTGCTAGGCAAGGACAAGTGAAGGTTATGAGATCCGATAACGGTACAAACCTTGTGGCTGCAGAACACGAGCTCCGCAAGGCTTTGAAGGAATGGAATCAGTACTAGATTTCCGAAGCTCTGCTGCAAAGAGGAGTTACCTGGATTTTCAACCCGCCTGCTGGGTCGCAACCTGGCTGAATCTGGGAGCGCCAAATAAGAACAGTGCGCAAGGTACTTAGCAGTGTCCTAAAGCTGCAGTGTCTTGATGACGAATGTCTGCACACTGTGATGTGCGAAGTGGAAGCAGTGATAAACAGCAGACCCCTTACTTATCTGATTATGTCGATGACCTCGAGCCACTGACACCGAATCATCATCTTCTGTTCAAGGGAAGGCCAGCACTCCCCCCTGGCATGCTTCACAAAGAAGATCTGTACTGCAAACGAAGATGGAGGCAGGTCCAGTATATCTCCAACATCTTCTGGTAGCGTTGGTCTAGAGAATACTTGCCCCTCCTACAAGAACGGCAGAAGTGGCTGGAGAAGAACAGGAACGTGAAAGAGGGGGACGTCGTACTCATTGTGGATAGAAGGGCTTCAAGAGGGTCCTGGTTGATGGGAAAGGTGGAGAAGACGATCCCAGACGCCCGAGGATTCGTTCATCGGGTCCTTGTGAAAGCAAGACCAACACCCTTGAGAAACCCATTGACAAGTTGTGTCTCTTGTTAGAGATGTAAGAATCTCATGGACAATGAAAGACATTTTATTCAGTTAATTGACTGTTAACTACTGGAACTTAAGTTAGTTCATGTTTAGACTTCAGTACATTTAAGTAATGGGGATTTGAGTATAGAAAATGACTCTATTTCGTTTAGTGTAATTTTCATCCCCATGATCAGCAATTAGGGGCCAGAAATGTTTTTGCCATTTTCTATTTAGTAATTTACTTTCATATTTAGTTATTATTTTTGGATATGTTTAGGATTTGCATATTATAGAATATTTCTGATTGCATTATAACTACGTTACTGCTTTACTATTTTAATAATTTTCTGTAGTTTCAATCTGCATTTGTTATGTAATGATTTGTATGTTTGTAATGATTAGAATTATCTTGAATGGATAGCTGATAGGAATTGATGCTGAGCGATGACGTTGCAGAGGCGCGTCTCTGGAATGCAAAAAAAAAACAAACCTGATGTGCTTTGTTCTGACTGGAAATAAAGACGGGGCGAACACAGTTTTCTACCATCGTTCAAACAACACACGTAAACTCGTTCTTTCCGTCTGAGTGGTTATTTGCATTCATCAGAAGAAACATTTGAGCACGGACATTTAGCCACTACACTACTGAACAACTAGGCCACATGGCAACAACTAACGTCTTAATAAAATGTGTTATTTCTCTCGGTTATGGAACTTCATTAAATCTCTAAAACAGTGGTGTCCAGATTGAGTTCTAAGGACTGCTATCTGCCATGATGAATTTAAAACAGCAACAGTGGATTACAGAGCTAAGCTGAGCTAGTTTCTTGGTTGCAGCGGCACTGGACACACAGTTGTAGCAACTGAAACACTCGTTTTATCAGGCGCCAAACCAACTGGGCCAGAATACGTACCTACACTATTTCTTAATCTAAGTTCTCCAACAAGCACAGGAGGATTTATTTATGGCCAGATTTGAACACACTCAGGCTCTAAAAAGCAAAACAGATTAATGCTGACGGAGGAACAACGGGAAAGACTGGAGAAGGCAGATGGTGAACGCCATTAAACTATTTATTCTAGAGCTTTAGTTTGAATATATCAGAGAAAACACGGAAAAAGGTTGTTTGCAATTTATTAAACCATATAAAGAAGCAAATATTTACAATCCATGAGGTTTTTATTGCTGCTCGTTCATCAATTTAGAAGTGATTACAACAATTTAAAAAATGTACAACAGAATATAATACATTAAATCAGCTGCATAAAATAGATCATTCTTTTCAATCATAGCAGGTAAATAGAACATCTAAAGAATCAAGATCAAAACTATTAGCTTCAAAGGAAAATTATACTTTCAAAAACCTTTAAAAAGCAGAAACTTTACACTTCTAGAGGAGTGTCAGATTTATTTAATACATTATTAAGACAAAGGCTTTTTACCAATTTAAAGCAGGTACAAACTGATCTGCAAAAATAACAGCAACATCATCAATCTTGTTTTATCTTTTTAAACAAACATGTTTCATCATTTTAGGACTTCAATTTACCTGAACTACAGACTCCAGCCTCTAAACTGAGGTCTTTGATGTCCCGTAGTTTAACCCCATAATCCCGAGCTACTTTGCAACATTAATTAGCTTGTAGCTGACTAACTCTGAGACTGACTCACACTTATAAATGTCTCTAATCTTCATCTTAGACTCCTCTATAGATGATCTACTTCATTCTAATATCCATTGACCATAGCTCTAACACTGTGCCATAAAAAGTTGGAGTTTTGGTGGGCCTGGTTTCAACAACACATGCAGCAGGGCTGATTGATGCATTGCTAATGAAACCCAATAAGACACTGAATTTGTAAAAACTGATAATTTGCAGCTGATTTTTAAAAAGAAAAAATCCTCCAAAAACATCAGAAAAACTGAGCAAAGCACATCACATCTGTCTAACAGTTGTTTTTGTTTCCATCTGAACAAATGTCTGTTTCTGGAATATATCCAACCAATAGCTTAGCATTCAGCTTAAAGTTCTTAGTCCCAAAAATAAAACTTGTGAGGTTTATTTTCTGAAGAAATTCATTCAGAAAAAGTTGTGCCACATCATGCCAAAATGACACATTAGGTGTCCGTCTGGATTTATTTCAATTTAAATATCTATAACTTCTCAATTGCTTGTTGTATGGTCAGCAAACTTGCTTCATCTGTAACCAAGATGTTGTAGTCGGACCTTATTATGTTTATTCCCTTCAATACATCAAAAGTAAGAAATTGTGAATCTAATCATTTTCTTATTGGTTTAGGCAATTATCTTTTTCTGGCAAATAAAATCTAATTTACTCAAAATAATTAACTTTCAAATGTTCACATCCATATATTCGCCCTGAATATTTACCGGGTTTGCAATATAACACCTTATCTGTTCTGGTTTCTATGTAAACAGAGCTGTTCATTAATGCTTTCTCAAAACTTTGCTTGAAAAAGACCATTAACCAGTGAGTTTCTCGTGTAATGATGTGAAGAAGTTTTTAGATGTACATTTTATCACCAAACATGGAAAACGCCTCTACTGTTCATTCCTGTGGCATCTAACTGCTCTGACTTATGTGAAACAAATGGTTCTTTTTAAAATATAAATCATTCCACATCATGCATGAATAAATGTCATATGAATACTCAAATTACCTTCTCATTTAAACCCTTTGTCAAAAATCATTTAGAACAGTTTCTCACCTGTGTGAACCCTCATGTGTTGAGTCAAATTACTATTTCGATTAAAATTCTTGTTACAAATGCTGCAGGAAAAAGGCTTCTCACCTGCGTGAATTTTCATGTGTTGAGTCAAATGACTCTTTATTTTAAAATTCTTGTTACAAATGGTACAGAAAAAAGGTTTCTCACCTGCGTGAATTCTGATGTGTTTATCAAGATTAGATTTCTGAGAGAAGATTTTTCCACAGGATTGACATTTAAAAGGCTTCTCACCTGCGTGAATTTTCATGTGTTGAGTCAAATGACTATTGCGATTAAAATTCTTGTTACAAATGCTGCAGGAAAAAGGCTTCTCGCCTGTGTGAAGTCTCATGTGTTGAGTCAAATGACTCTTTATTTTAAAATTCTTGTTACAAATGGTACAGAAAAAAGGCTTCTCACCTGTGTGAACCCTCACGTGTTGAGTCAAATGACTATTGCGATTAAAATTCTTGTTACAAATGCTGCAGGAAAAAGGCTTCTCGCCTGTGTGAAGTCTCATGTGTTGAGTCAAATGACTCTTTATTTTAAAATTCTTGTTACAAATGGTACAGAAAAAAGGTTTCTCACCTGTGTGAATTCTGATGTGTGTATCAAGATGAGATTTCTGAGTGAAGCTTTTTCCACAGGATTGACATTTAAAAGGCTTCTCACCAGTGTGAACTCTCATGTGATTAATCAAACTACCCTTTCCAGTAAGATTCCTGTTACAAATGGTACAGGAAAAAGGTTTCTCACCTGTGTGAACCCTCATGTGTTGAGTCAAATGAGTCTTTTGAGAAAAATTCTTCTTACAAATGGTACAGGAAAAGGGCCTCTCCCCTGTGTGAAATCTGATGTGATTATTAAAAACACACTTCAAGTTGAAGCTTTTTCCACAGGACAGACATTCAAAAGGCTTCTCACTTGTGTGAACTCTCATGTGTTTAGTCAAATTACCCTTTTCAGTAAAATTCTTGTTACAAATGGTACAGGAAAAAGGCTTCTCAATATTGTGAAATTTGATGTGCTTATTAAGATCATACTTAGAGAAGAATCTTTTTCCACAGGATAGACATTCAAAAGGTTTCTCACTTGTATGAACTCTCATGTGTTTAATCAAATTACACTTTTCAGTAAAGTTCTTGTTGCAAACAGTACAGGAAAAGGGCTTTTCACCTGTGTGAATTCTGATGTGTCCATCAATTTTAGATTTCTTTGGGAACATTTTTCCACAGGACAGACATTCATAAATCTTCTGACCTTTTTGAGTGAGAACCATAAAAAAATCTTTTTTTAGAAGGTTTTCTCCCCTTGTCAAACCTGGGAAATGTTTCTCTCCTGTATCTTCAGTCTGCTGCTTTAGAACAAGCTGCTCTTCATGCTCACTTATGGGGAGCTCCATGGTTTCCTCTTTTGTCCAGGGATGTTCTGGTTCTATCTGCTCTTCTTTTATCTGCAAAGGTTTCTCTTGGTCCAAACTGGAATTCACCTCCTGACCACAGAGCTGCTTTTCAGAGAAATCCTCCTCTTTTCCAACATAATCCTGCAGGTGGTCTGTAAAGACAAACACAGCAGAAAAACTTTCTATTGTAGGTTAAAGAAAGAACACTTCACTTTAATCATCATTGTGTTGATCTAACTACATATAAACAGACTGGAACTACATCTCCCAGCATGCACTGCAGCTGTGACGCCACAATCACAGGTTATAAAATACTGGTTAATGCTCCACCATCTGGCAAGGTTAGGACATCCACTTTTATCAGCAAAGCCTTAAAGATCTGATCACCTGTAGATACTTGATTATTAAAGAAACGTTTAAACTATTTCTTAGATTTTTGTTTTGCTGAATCATCCAGGTTTTTGTGATCTTTTGCCCAGAGATTGCTGGAGGAAGGCACCAGCTCCACTGTGACCCTACGTATAAGCCCCAAACGAGGGTTATGCACACATTTATCACAGACGGCCAAAAAAAAGGGGGGGGGGGGGGTGCACTCCAGAAAGCCAGATCTCTGTCTCATTCTGGTCTGATCCAACTATTTATCTATTATTCTGCTTAGCTGACCTCAGTGCAGAGCTAGACTGTAAACCTTCTCTTACTCCAACTCCACAATAAGTAGATTTAAAAGATTTAAAAAGACGGGAAAAAGACATAATGCACCTCTTCTTAAGACACAATATGGGTAATGCAAAACATCTTATAAAAAACAGGGTGAACGTAACAGATTTTTCCATCACATTATTCTGCACAAGAAATCTTGATTTCAATCAAAACACAAGTTCAATCTTTTCCGTCTCCAGTTTCTTTCTACTTCACTCTGAAGCCTAGAGTAAAAATTAATCCACTATACATTCCTGTGACAAACTTGTTGTTATTCTCATGACAAACAAAGTCATGCAGATGTTGTGCCATGATCATGGTTTTTGGACATTGGGAACCAGTGTCCATATTTCATCTTGACATGATGACCAGAGAAGAGGATAAAAATTTCGGGGGGGAATCATTGTCAGGATAGTTATCATGTTCAATCAAACAATAACTTGGAGCGCCAACTTCATGCGTGACAGACATCGACAGACAAGGAATCGCAGTGAAGTGCTGTCCATCAGTTCAGCCACCCTCTCTCCACTTCCTTCAAAAACTTACTTGGAGTGCAAACTTCTTTGTGTTAAATGAGTCTTGCAGTTACTACTGACTAAAAGCATATAGGTTTTCATGTTTATACAATATAATTATAATTAATGTCAAACCTGGGAAAGGTTTCTCTCCTGTATCTTCAGTCTCTTGCTTCAGAACAAGCTGCTCTTCATGCTCACTTATGGGGAGCTCCATGGTTTCTTCTTCTTTCCAGGGATGTTCTGGTTCTATCTGCTCGTCTTTTATCTGCAGAGGTTCTGGTTCCTCTTGGTCCAAACTGGAAATCCTCTCCTGTCCACAGAGCTGCTGGTCAGAGAAAACCTCCTCTTTTCCAACATAATCCTGAAGGTGGTCTGTAAAGACAAACACAGCAGAAAGACTTTCTATTGGTGATTAAAAAAAGGACACCTCATATTAAAGCACCAAACTCTTTCCTTGGGTTTGAGACGTGAGATGGGGATAAACACGCAGGACGGCCTTATGTGAATATATCACCAGAATGATTGACAGTTAGGAAGACCACTTATTTTGATGATCTAACCGGAAAAGGGCCATCCTCCACTATGCCTTTAATTAACTTGTGGGTAATGGGATCTGCAAAATGGATGTATTTTCCAAGTTAGGTGGCTGTGTAGTTGCCTTATCAAAACGCTGCTGTGTAAATAATAGATTGCTGTGTTCAACCACCCAAAAAACACCAGAGAGCCTCTAGGCTGACCGTTTTTATTAGGGGTGTAAATCACATCCATCATGGCGATTCGATTCAGTATCGATTTCCTTACCCAACGATTCAATTATTTTCGATACTCAAGAATACACCACGATTCGATTCAATTAATCGATTAATTGGTTACATTTTTTTTTTATTATTATTATTTTTTTTACACCTTACAGGCTAAACAAAGTTTCAAGTTTGAAATAAATGAATGAAAGCTGTAATATCGTTATGCTTTTTTTTTTTTTTAGAAACAACAGCAAATAACAGAAGTAGAAAAGTTGCATCAAAAAATAATGCAAAAATACCGCACTATTTCAGTGCAATGAGTTCAATGAAATACCTCTGCTCCAGAGTGTCGACATCCCCGCCCCCTTGGGAGACGCTCCGCTGCTCCTCTCCCTAATTGTAGCTGACCGCAGACAGGAGGCCGGCTTGTTTTGTTTTTATGACCGAAATTGCGGAAAACAACTCGTGAAGTTTGACCCGCTAGAAGAGCGAGGTGCGCGAGAACGCTGGGACCCTTTTTCCACCTGGATCTCCACTCTTTTTAGCCCTCATGTCCCCCCGTCGTCGGACTAAACTCGCCCCCACTTCCTCGCCGCCTCGGCCGTATCTAGACCCACAGCGTGTAGCTCAGACCACGCTTCAATACTGAGCATAATTTAAAAATGTCTGTGTCAAGCTTGCTGCAACACACTGCTGTAAGAGTATAACCAGGAAGCGAGGTAGGAGGGCAAAATAGGTTTAGCGCCACCGCAGCACGGGAGGGAGAATTACACCCAGAAGCAAATGGATAAAAATAAACATGAATCGATTTTCTTGCAGACGTGTCGATGCATCGGATCATCGGCTTTTGGATCGATGCATCGATACAAAACGATTATTATTTACACCCCTAGTTTCTATACAACCAATGTGTTAAATAGGAAGATTCTTAGTTTCTTTGTATTGGTAGTTGTTTTCTAGCAGTGTTTTGTTCTTGAGTTATTCTCTGTTGCCCCCTTGTGTTTGTTTCGTTTCCCCTTAGCTTCCTTCTTGATGTTTCCATCCACACCTGTTCCTTCAGCTCATTAATCAAGTCTTTGTTCCGTCTCAGAAATATATAGGCTGTGTTCGAATTTATGGGCTGCGTCTTCCAAGGATAGGTTTGGGAATTGATAAGATTTTCACGATTCCGATTCCTCTATCGATTCTGTGAAAGGATTTGATTCCTTATCGATTATCTCTTCAATTCTGTGAAACAAGGAACTTGGTAAGTGCACGGTGACATTCATCTACTTTCGCCTGGGACATTCTATCTCTGCCTGCCTCGGCAAAAACAGAAGGCAGAAACAGGAGCTGCCAGCCTCTGATCCAGCCAGGCTACCAGTCTCCTCGCAGTCATCTAAATCTAATGGAGAAGGCATCTGCTTAATGAAAAGGCATTACTGTACAATTTCTCCCCCTGATTTAAATAAACAAGCGTCACCTTTGTCTCGCTCCCTGAACTGTGGAGCAACTTCGTAGCATGTTTAATAACCCCAAAGAGAGGTAGAAAATAGTTTATTTCCAGAAATGGCATCTGATTTACTAGGAACCACGTTAAGCTCAGCCAGTGATATAAAACTAGCTACTAACCACCAGAGTTTCCTTCCATGCTGGTTGAAACTTTAGCTTCTGTCCAAAAGCATAAAAAACATGGCATTCGTTAAAATGTATGCCATGTTGTGTGCGCAGGTGTTTCTGCATGTTGGATGAATTTCCTGCCAAAGATGTAATTGCCACTTTCGATCGCTTTATCCGATGGGACGCCAATTGTTTTGTTTTGCTTTTCCATCCAAAGCAAAACATCCAGACAGTGTCTTGCCCACGACCAAAATCTAATAAATTAGCAAATATTCCCAAAGGAGTAAATCATGATAATCTAATTAAAATTAAAATAACTTCAATTGGGGAAAAAGTTAAAATGATTAAATGTGGTCTGTTTAACATAAGATCTCTTTCTTTTAAAAGTCTGCTAGTTAATGACTTGATTTGTGATAATCACATTGACCTGTGTTGCCTTACAGAAACCTGGCTGCAGCAAGAGGATTATGTGAGCATAAAGAGGCAACTCCTTCAAGCTATTTAAATTTTCACATGCCCAGAACTTCTGGGCGAGGAGGAGGAGTAGCAACAATCTTCGAGTCTGACTTACTGATTACTCCCAAAACAATTAATACCTACAACTCTTTGAACATTTAACCCTTAATTTCCCCGATACAAATTTCAAGGCAAGAAAACCTCTTCTTTTTGTAACTTTGTATCGTCCACCAGGTCCTTACTCTGAATTTTTAGATGAGTTTTCAGAGTTCCTTTCTGATTTGGTATTAAATACTGACAGGGTCATCATAGTGGGAGATTTTAACATCCATGCTGACATTGAAGGCGATAGCTTAAGAGCAGCCTTTAATGCTATCTTAGACACTATTGGCTTTGTTCAAAATGTGAATAGTCCCACACATTCTCATCTTCATACTTTAGATCTTGTGCTGACATACGGCATAGAATGTGAAGAAATAACAGTATTTCCTCACAACCCTGTCCTCTCTGACCACTTTCTAATAACCTTCAGGATTACTTTAACAGAGTTCTCCTCCCCCAAAAGAAGGTTCAATTTTAGTAGATCTTTATCAGATAGTGCAGTTATAAATTTTAAAGAATCTGCTTCACTTTCTCTCTCCTCTGTGTCACTGAGCAGTGCTGCAGAGTGCAAAAGCATAGCTTATTCCCCTTCACAGGTTGATGATTTTGTTGAGGGGGTCGCTAGTTCTCTGCGTATTGCCTTAGACAACGCAGCTCCTTGAAAATGAAAACCGTTAAAAATAGAAAGCTTGCCCCTTGGTTTAATGCAGAGCTGCGTACTTTGAAGCAAAATGCTAGGAAACTGGAGAGAAAATATCGCTCCACAGGCCTGCGGGAGTCCTTCCTAGTCTGGAAAAATGGTTTACTGCTGTATAAGAGGACCCTTTGTAAAGCAAGAGCAGCATACTTCTCCTCATTAATAGAGGAGAATAGGAATAATCCTATAATTCGTTTTAAACCAGTTCCTTCTTTCATCTGAGGAATATTGCAAAAATTAGAAATCTCCTGTCCAGGGGTGATGCTGAGAAACTAGTCCATGCATTTGTTACTTCAAGGCTGGACTATTGTAATTCTTTACTATCAGGAAGTCCACAAACTGTAGTTAAAAGCCTTCAGCTGATCCAAAATGCTGCAGCCAGAGTTCTAATGAAAATGAAAAAGAGAGATCATATCTCTCCTATCCTGGCTTCTCTTCATTGGCTTCCTGTTAAATCAAGAATAGAATTTAAAATCCTCCTTCTCACATATAAAGCCTTAAATGGCCAAGCTCCATCTTATATCAGAGATCTGATTGTTCCTTATGTTCCTAACAGAGCACTTCGCTCTCAATCTGCAGGTTTACTAGTGGTTCCTAGAATTTCTAAAAGTAGAATGGGAGGCAGATCTTTTAGTTATCAGGCTTCTCTCCTGTGGAACCAACTACCAGTTTTACTGGTAGTGCCATCAACACCTTTGTTTCTAGATGTTGGAGCTTGGCCTGTTTTCCAGTGTAGTCCTGTTTCTCTGACTGTGACTAACTGGATGTGCTCTCTTCATCCTCTGACATGGGAGCTGGCTCGGAGCTCGTCTGCCTGGCTGTGTGTTTCCTGGACGGGGCCGCCTGTGGAGCTGGTTGACAGTTGCCTTTTGTATCTATGCTTCTTTTTCTATGTCTGCTTCTGTCTCCTTGAACCCCAGTGGGCCTCAGCAGATGGCCGCTCACACTGAGCCTGGTTCTGCTGGAGGTTTCTTCCTGTTCAAAGCATGCTTGGTGAGAGGGATTGCCTTCGATTCAAAGTCTTGATGTAATAGGCTGGATTTCCTTAGATAGACAGATCAATTGAAGCAAGTACGTTGCCTGGTCTGGCAGATTCGAACCCCACCATCGAACTAGACCTGGGTTTGCTGTGCGTCTGGGAGCAGTCAGAGACGTACATGTCGTAGACTTACTGGGAGTTTTCTCTCTCCACTGTCGCTACAAGCATGCGTAGTGTGAGGGGTTGCGTTCGAGTTAATGAGTCGATGCAATCAACTGGTTTTCCTTAGATAGAAAACTTTGAATCAATCTGACTGGATGATCTGGTGAACTGGAAAGTGCCTTGAGATGACTTGTGTTGTGAATGGCGCAATATAAATAAACTGAATTGAATTTTCTAGACTTACACCTGGTCACGTCGTACTTGCTTACTGAATGCCGTGTGCGTAACTTGCGTAAAATACGTGACGTAGCTTACGTAAAAATGTGACGCAAGTCGTGCTGCCAAGCGCTGGGCTCTGGTGCTGCCTGGAACCGTTAAGAAAACAGTTAAAATAATTAAAAAAATAAATAAATAAATAAACTGAATAAAAAAGAAAACCATTAAGCGAGCTGCCAAACGATGCCATGGTATTGGAACACATGGAACCGGTTCTGAACAGGAACCGGTTTTCGATTCCCATCCCTATCCAAGGACGCGGTCTACCTAGACTTGATCCTTC